TTTTTTTTTTCTTTTTTTTTTTTTTTTTTTTTTTTTGAGACAGGGTCTCACTATGCAGTTCAGGCTGGCCTTGAACTCACAGTGATCCTTCTGCCTCAGCCTCTCAAGTTCTGGGATTACAAGGATACCCCACCACTCCTGGCTCACATTTGTCTGCCTTTTGACAAAGCTAGTAACAATTGTTTGGTTACTGGATATTGCACTTTCATACTGTTGAGTGTATGAATTTTGTTTTCTTTTAAAGAGTTCCAAGCTTTATTCTAGAACGCAGTTAAGTCACTTGAAATTTGTAAGATATTTTTATTTTAAATTGTTATTGGCTTGATCTTTTTATTTTTTCTCTTTCCTTTTCCCTCCTGTTCTTTCTCCTCTTCCTCTTGGCACTTCCTGAACCCAGGGCCTTTGCACCAAGCTGTATCCCTGCAGCCCTTTTTACATTTTGTGACAGCCTGGGCTTGAACTTGAATTTACGACTTTCCTGCTTCAGCCTCCCAGAGTGCTGGGATTATAGGAGTGTGCTGCTCTGACTGGTTAAGTGTATTCTACTGGTATTTGTCAGGATACAGAGTTTAGATACAGACTCGGAAGGTTGCCCTTATTGGTTATGTTGTTTATTCCGTATATTTTCTTATTTATTTTTGTCTACTTGATGAGAGTTGGTGTGTTAAAATGTCAGAATATTAGTGTGACCCCCCCCATCCTTGCTGTGCCTTTTGACATTATCTTTATTTTTCTTATTTAATACTATCTGACCTAAATTGTAACTTGCCAGGTAATCAGATTACAATTTTTGGCTGGGTGTGGTGTTACACCCCTGTGGTCCCAGCACTTAGAAGGCTGAAGCAGGAGGAGAATCACCCAGAGTTCCAGGCCAGCCTGGGCCACATAGTGAGACTTTGTCTCTTTATTTCATTTGCATGTGCATCGTGCCTCTTCTGCAGCTGGTGTTTGCAAACTCTGCACCAGACAAGCTCCCACTCAGGGGACTGTGTTGTTCCCGCAGCTTGCCTTTCTGGGTGAAGGAGAAGGCCAACCATCTGAAGAATGAGATAAGAGAAGTCGAGGAGCTGGACCACTGGCAGCCAGCAGCACCCTTAACGCGAGGTTTAGTCCCTTCGGGTGCGTTAAAGAACCTTCAAAAAACAGCAGTGTGAACACTAGCGGTGTCCGGAAGAGCAGGACTTTGAGAGGCTTCAACCTGCAGCAATGTGTGCTCTGCCCCAGTGGTCCCAGGGCGGACGTCACGGCTGTGCCTTCAGGGTCACTTGTACTGGCTGACGACAGTCAGGTGGGAGATGCTGCCACTAACCCTGTGCCTCTGTCTGCAGGTGTGGACTTCCCCAGGCAAACCTGAGCTGGCTGGCTGCCTGCACCCGGACGAGCCTCTTCCGGTGGCTGGGGCTGACAGTGTAACTGTTTCTGAGTGATGGACCCTAATGAAGAATCACTGCTTAGCCTCATTTAATTTTAGGTTTTGAAAACTTATAAGAATCACACAACAAATACCTGAAATCTTTTACTGAGGTTCTACAGTTGTTAATGTGTCTACACACACACACACACACACACACACACACACACACACGATGATTGCTTTGTGGAACCATTTGTGAGGGGTGGGTATCTTACCTCCCTACCCTTCCGTACCTCCTATGTAACCTCAGCATGCCTCCCTAAGGTCAGGCATATTCTCCAGCAATGACACACAAATAGCAAACTCGAGGAGTTTTACATTAACACAATCCTAGTACTTCACAGCCCACATTCTGTTTCACTCAGTTACTTTTTATTTTCCAAGATGCCTTTAAATCAGTGGTAAAACACAGATGTTGTGTGAGTGCGTTAGTCCTCTCCGCTATAATCGAACCCCATAAACAGGGTAGCTCATTGATGACAGGAATTTATTTCCTGTACTTTTGGAGGCTGGGAGGCCCAAACTCAAGGTGCTGACAGTTTAGCATGTGGCAAGGGCCTGTCTGGTCCACAGATGCACCTTCTCCTGTGTCCTATGGTGCTGGGGACAAGTAGCTCTCGGGCATCTCTTTTACGAAGTCACTGATTGCACGGCCTCCCCTCCTAATACCATCACCTCAGGGTTAGATTTGTCAGCATACATGTGTTGGGGGGACATAGACATTCAGATCATAGCAGTGAGTTTCATTATTTTTGGGTAAAAGTATTTTCATTTTATTAACTTACTGATCATGGAACTGGGGATTCAACCCAAATTAGGTATTTTTTTTTCAGAAGCATCCTTGGATATATTATTGGTTAAATTTTTAAAATAAAATTTATTTTATCCCATTCCCCTCTCCAGCTCCCTCCCCACCCTATGTTTGTTTGTTTTTTGGTACCGGGAGTGGGGATTGAACTCGGGTCCTTGTGCTTGCAAGGCAGGCAGTGGAACCACTGAGCTAAATCCCTGGTCCGCCTCCCACCTTATGTACAAAGGCTTTGTTTCCATCTTTCTTCTATTTTCATTTTTTTTCTTGTCCCTTCCTTTCTCCCTCCCTCCTCCCTTGTTCCCCTCCCCATTTGAATATTTTCTTCCCATTTCCCAATATCTATGATACACTTTAGTCCTTGTTTCCACTTTTGGTTTCTCACACCAGAGAGACAATGTGGTATTTACACGTGTCCGGTTTATCTCACTTAACAGTATGGTCTCAAGGTCCATCCACTTAGCTGTAAATGTCTGACGCTCACACTTCTTTATGGCAGAGTAGTACTCCACTGCATTAAAAAACCCCACTCATTGGTTGATGGGCATTTGGGCTGTTTCCACAATTAAGCTATTACAAATTGTGCTGCTGTAACATGGTTGTGCATATATCACTGTGGTAGGATGCTTTTAATTCTTTTTGGGAAGATACCAAGAACAGGAATAGCTGGGTCAAATCATAGTAAGTATTAACATTCAAACTTTTATTAATGTTCTGCAGGATTCCACTAACAGTTCACATTTCCAGTAGGAGGAATGGAGTTTGGTTAGATCGTTTCTTTTTCTCCTAGCAATCTGACCCTCAAAAGCTAGGCTTATAGAACTTATAACACTGCTTATAGAACTTGACTTGGGCCTGGAGCCCCTCAAGCTCATGGGGGAAGCCAAGAGATGGTTTTCTTTTGTGGCTGGAAGAACAAGAGGAAGTGTCTGAGTATAGTAACACCTCCGCCAGGACTGAGGCCTGTCCCAGATTTAGGGCGATATACTTTTGAAGGGGTTTAGGAAAGGTGGCAGAAGCCCATTGAGATGACAGGTGTCTTCCCAGTACTGCACTCTAGGGGGACTTCGGCCTGACCTCACCTCACTGATATGTTTGTTCACAGTTGGGGTCTGAGCAGGGCTGGTGGCACACGCTTGTAATCCCAGCACTCTGCAGGCTGAGGCAGGAGGGTCGCCCCAAGTTAGAGGCCAGCCTGGGTTACACAGTGAGTTCAAAGCCAGACTGTAATACAAGCGAGACCCTCCCTCAAAAAAAAAAAAAACCCTAAAAAAATTAAAACAAAAATTTTTTTCTATCAGTGAAACGCTTGACAAAGCGCAGCCTAACATTACCACCAATCACACCACTGATTTCCCAGCCGACGCCCACTTTTAGAATCTGGTTAGAGCTGTGGTCGGTCAGCAGCGCGGCGCAGGGCGTTTAGGCCTGCTTGCTTGATCGGTTGGTTGGTCTGATCTCGCGAGACTTACTGGCTCCTCACGCCTCCCTCCCCCGCGCGCCTGCGCAGCACTCTTCAAAGCCGAAGGTTGCTCTTGGAGGAAGTGGCTGCTTTGGTTCCTTAGCCGGACCGCCGTTACCACTTTTCGAACCTCTTGTCTCCCGCTTGCCGGGACTCTCTGCCGCCAGGATGCCTCGAATTATGATCAAAGGAGGCGTGTGGAGAAACACCGAGGTGAGTCCCCTTTCCCGCCGGCCGCTGCCCTTCGCCCCCACGGTGTTTTGTGCGCAGGCGCGCTGAGGTCTGGAGGCGAGGCGGTCGTTCGCGGGGTTTGCGTGGGTTCCTAGAGGGCCCACCCGGGCCGACGGCTGGGCCCCTCTGGACTGGGCTTGGGACGCCGCCGAGTGGCCTCTCGGTCGGCTCACGCCGCCAGACCCTTGGTGAATGGAGGTCGCGTCTCCAGCCTCCCTCGGCGGAGGTCCCAGTTGGTGGGGAGAAGGGACATCCCTGGGAGTTGATTTTTCGGGGGACCTGGATACCCCGCCCCCCGCCAAAGAAGTTGTGAGAGCCACAGCGTTTTCACTGACTGCTTTGCAGGGGGGAAGCGGCTTTAGCGTCATCTTGGAAGAGCCCGTTGACCCCTGCATCCGTCTGCTTTCCGTTAGCACAGCATAACCTCTCTGTCCTCCCGACGGATCCTAGAGTCTGTCTCTTCTTCACTCCGCCATTGCGGGGGCAGAGGCTAGACAGGACAAACTGCTTGCACTAGTGTTTGCTTCTAAAAGTTTTGGATAATGCCATGGGCTAGCCGAAGGGAGTAAATAGGAAGTAGGTTTTAGTGCATTTTGAGTGTGCTGAATTTCTGGGATATAGCTTATCTTTAGAAGCTCAGTCTTTTTACACCTTACGACCTTTTGGGTTATTTTCGTAGTGCTTGGTTTTCTTCTGATTATCCTTTAAACGTAGATCAGAAATATATCTTGGAATCTTTGCCCATTCACCTTGTAAAAGTTAGTTGTACCCTCAGTGGTCTAAGCTTCATAACCTCTCAAAGCCTCAGCTCCTTCATTTTTCTAAAGGAGATAATACTTACCTCTTTTTTTTTTTTTTTTTTTTTTTTTGT